GACAGATACTTTGCTATTCCAGAGCTGAGCTCCCCTCCCCGGGTTCTCTCCACCCGTTTCCTGGTGTTAGACTCACCCACTTCTATCTGTCACTCCGCCCGACATGTTTCACCTTGTGTATGAGCCCGTGACCCTGCTCCGCCCGTTATGCCCCCCACCCCCACTCAACTGTCTCTGCTGACCTCCCCAATCCTAGCAAAATGCTTACCGAAAAGCTGGTGGCGCAGGACTTCATTTTCATGGAGTGGGTGTGGGAGAAGTGGGTTAGGGATGGTACCGGCCGGGTAGGGGATCCGGGTGAGATGGGACCCAGAAGCCAGAGGATCGATAAGAGGGTGGACAGAGGCTGAAGCTGTGGAAATCGAACAGGCAATGGGTTAGCTTTGTTAACGGGACTGCTGTGGCATGAAATGAATTTCTACCAGGTCTTTTCCAGGGATCTTGCATCCACATATGAACCCAGGAGCAGTGTTTAAGCTGAGTCAGCGTGAGCTACCTCACAATTTTTTAGCCTCCGGCTTACACGTTTTCGTCTCAGCTCAGGAAGGAGGGCTCCGGAGCAAACTAATTTATGCAGCAGCCAAATCGCTTGCTCACAACTTTAATGCCAGTAACTCACAAAATAGAATTTTTGCTCACATGACTCCACAGCTTAGAGGGAACATTGCCCAGGAGGCTGCCTTATACTGAGCTATCAAGTTCGCTCTCGTCCACTCTAACTGGCAGTGGCTCCCCCTGATTTTTCACATCACCTCCTGCTTGATCCTCTACCTGGGGATGTCAGGGATTGAACCTGGGACCTTCTGCGTACAAAGCAAAGGCACTGCCACTGAACTGTGGCCTCTCTCTCAGACAAGTAGCATTTCCCCAGTACTCTTTGCAACACCCCTGCCAATGGCGGGACTGACTGATTCAGATGACTGGGAACTCCAAGAATTTCGACAGGTTTTGGGTTCTGGCAGGTGCAAAGCTAGTCCTGCCAGTGCACAGGCAATCGACTAAATAATGGGATGGAAGAATAATGTTTCCAGTGGTCAGGGATGGGGGCTCCGGAGCTCTGGATAGCTTCTTGCCCCTTCCCAGGACCAAAAGAAGCAAAAGGCTTAAAAGTTGGTTCGATCTGCATTCAGACTGCCAAATCTGGGCATGAAATTTGGATTATATTGGTGCAGAATTGTCACTGCTGAAGTCCAGCATCCTGCCTCCCCCCCGAGGCAAAACCAGGCGGGGGGGGGGAGGGGGGGGGGGGGGGGGGGGGGGAGACAGTGGCACAGAGAGCTCCCTCCACCCTCTCTGTTTTTCGTGTGCAATCCTGTTTCCATTTGAAATACATTAATTAATTGACACATCCCAGACTTCGAACAGCTGCTGAGACCTAGTTTGCACTGAGCTGGAAAAACAAGGCAGTCATATGACCTCATACACATGCACACACGCAAATCTCTGTATGCAGAGAGCTAAGTATCCTAAGAACATAAGAAGAGCCCTGCTGGACCAGACCAATAGTCCATCTAGTCCAGCATCCTGTCTCACACAGTGGCTAACCAGTTCCTCTGGAGGTGCCCCACTGGAGCCAAAATGAATGCCGCCTCACCTGCGTGGATAGCATCCTGCTGGTGCAGATGGAGGTGTGAGTGGATGTGGGAGTGCTGGTGATGATGGGGGGTCACGTTGAGCATCTGCAGCCGGGCCAGGGGGTCGTTGCTCAGGGCGGCCACCCTCTCGGCGTGCTGCCTCTCGGCGGCTAACCGCTCGGCGTAAGACATGTCGGGGCGCAGGGCCGGGCCGGCTGCCAGCGCAAGCCGCTCCCGCTCCAGGTGGCCCAACCCTGGGTGGAAGGGGAAAGCGGGGTGCAGGCCGGGGCCCGCCTGCAGAGCCAGCCCCCCGTGCCGCGGGAAGGGATCCATGGTGGCGCTGGGCACGGCGTGGAGCTGCTCCAGCTCGGCCGGCTTGACTTCGAAGCCGGGCTTAAGGCGCTCGCGTAGG